GATAGATAGATAGATAGATAGATAGATAGATAGATAGATAGATAGATAGATAGATAGATAGATAGGCAGGCAGGCAGGCAGGCAGGCAGGCAGACAGATAGATAGACAGATAGATAAATAAATAAAATGTCTGATAGTTGAAAACTTTAAAAAAAAAATTAACTCATCCACTGCAGTATTTCTGTTTATACTTTCAGAATCACGACCCAATCAGTTTCCAAGAATATCAGAGGGTGACAGACAAGAACTCCCATTGGACCGAAACCTAATCTCAAAGTAAAAATGAGGTTGATTAATAATTTAATCACCCGACAAGACCAATTTCCTAGGGGAAACACTGAAATGTATTAATTTCATTAAAAAACTGTATGCAATAAAAAAAACAAGAAAATACACAAATCAAATCAGAACTTTTTTTTAAAGTTTGTCATATTTGAAGCAGAGAGGAGCACTGAGCGGATTGACTGGTGGCATTAATCGTATTAATCATCAAGTGCCAAAAAATAATTGTTTTTCTGACGATTAATTGTAAAATATGATTATGCCTAACTCTAATGTTAAAGACAAAAAAGGCACAAGGATGTGAAAGTTTTAATTAACAACTGTAGAGAAAAAAGCTGTGCAGCTGCTAGCACCTCCACCCAAAAGGTAGGTTAATTCTCCCTTTAAATCACATTTTAAACACCAGTTTATAATCCTAATATCCTCTTATGCTAGAAACATAGATTGATTTTGCCTCAAGTGTCGTACTCGACAACGCTCAACAATGTCTATATCACTCGGACTGACAACAAGACACCCAGTACTGAGTCAGGTTTTGTTTCCTCAGGCCTGGTCAGCATCACTGATTTGTCAGAAACAGCTGAGCGGGCCTAAACATCATCACATCATTAAAGAACAACATAGTGTTGGTTCATCAGAGTAACAAGGGCCGACAAGGATGGTGGCCCGGGGGCCAAGCGGGGGCCTGAACTGACTCCTTTTAATCTGATGCCAAGCAACATTTGACAGGCAAAAACACAGCAATGTACTTTCCATCCTAACACTTCTCTGTGTTTTTAGTCAGGGCAGATATCTGAACAAACTGATCCGTCTGATGAGTGACGAATCAACCAAGAAACATACTAACATGAAATCACAGCCAACAAACTGATCTGTTCATACATTTCTGCTATGTGTGCATTTTTTAGTAGTAGAGTAGGTGCAAAACCCTCTCACGTGTAATACGTTTTATTGATCTGCAAGCAGAAGTTTCCCCTAAAATCTCCCCTTGAAGAGGCAAAATAAATATGGGATGAAAGGACCTGCTCTACAGTGGGTAATCTAGTTAGTTTGTACAGATAAATGCTGTAAGATCGGAACTCTGTAACATCACATGTGAGAGCCTCAGGGTTCTGTACTTGGACCTAAGTTGTTTGTATTAATATGTGAATGATTTGGTAAATGTGACAGGGCTTCTTAAATGTCTATCTATCTATCTATTTATTAGGGATGCTAACAATTAATCGAATTACGATTAATTGTCAAATAATGGTTTATTAGATTAAAATTTCTTCCATTCGATTGTTTGAAAACATCCGTAAACCTTATTTCAGTGTAGTTTTGCCTTCATCCAGCAGAGGGCATTGCTGCTCTACCCCAGCCCTGTTAAACTGAGCAGGAAGCTGTCTCGATGTGGGCGGGACCGCTAACGCGTGAGTTTTATTTAGTTTTATTTGCGACACAACAATAATATTGGACTACACCAAACTTGAAGGAAAATTACTGAAGGCTGCACCGAACCAAGCAGCAGTATGATGCTATAGACAAAAGAGCAGGACGACAGAACRGTAAGCTAACTGTGGCTAATGTTAGCTTCATCTTGTTGAATTTAACTCCGTGTGAAAGAACAAAAAAAATAAGTTATAGTCACTACAAATATTTAACTTAAAGTTAATCTAATCAGTGTGATGTAACCCGGCCAGTAAACCAATCTAATGAACAGTAACTGACGTCAGATGATGCGGTGCAGCCCAGCTGAGATAGAACCAGAGGGAATGTAAACAAACAAACAAACAATTGTCAGAACTCATTTGTATCTCACGTCTTTCAGGGATATTTTATTATGTTTATAGTTTGTTTTTGAGTTAAACTCTAGTAAAATATTACCCTGTGTTTAAATTATAGTTTTTCATCTTCAGGGTGGATTAAGTGTTTTACTTATTTTATTCTTTCATTTTTTTCCAACTTAACAGATTCCTGTTTTGTTATATTTTATAAATATGTCCAAGTTGAATAATGTGAGAGAAATCCACATTTCTCTGTTCATTCAGTCAGTGTTTACTCACACAGCTGGCACAATGAATTGTTAAAATACTGTACTTTTTAAATTTAGTGTAAAAAATTAGGCCTTCATGTTATAGAAAGAGAAATGTCAGGTTTTTAGGAAAATGGCCGCTTATCAATTAATCGTTAGTCGATCGATAAGATCAGTCAACTTTAGATTAATCCATT